GGGGGGGGCGGGGTGTGGGGGGGGGCGCGCGGCCGTTAGAAGCCCCGCGACCGTTGGGCGCCCCCTCCCCCCGACTCTGGGGAGCACCAAACGGGCATCGTTAAACAGGGCGGCGTGGAGAGGGCCAGGGCGGGGGGAAGAGGGGGGAGAAACGGGCCAAGGGAGGTTGGCAGCAGGAAAAGGCGAGGGAAGACGTGGTGGGGGTGGAGGAGAACCTAACGCCGCTGCCTGCCTTAGGGGCAAGACCACGCTTAGCCAGCTGGTAACCCAGCTTTAAGCTGGTAGCTTAAAGGAGCTGTGGGGATCACTTTCCTTGGTAGCAAGTGAGATGTGTGTCTGACCACCTGGAAGAGCTTTGTCTTTGTCACCTGTAGTTCCAAGGATATGTGTTAAGTATATATTTAATAAGGAAGAAAAACATAACTTGTGCTTTGAGGAGAAGATATACGAAGCTTTGTTTTGATGCAACAAGGAAACGCCTCAGTCTAAAGCCCCATGGTTCCTCATTTGTTTTGTAACTGCATGATGCCATGCAAACTGCTGCTACACTTGCTTTTTTTTCACCCTTTGTTATAGCCTGAGATGATATATCAAATATATAGGCTGTACTGCCTGGCCTGATGGTGTACATCACCTAGCCTAGTACATGGGGCTTGTGTCTGCTTCGTGTCAACACATATGCCAGGTTTAAGCACCTTTTCCACTTTTCTTGTGGATGCCACTGATGGTCTTCAAGGAGCTTTTTTTTTTGCTCTCATGTGTCAGCCTTCTGATTAGGGAAGGGGCTGGTGAGGAAGAAAGCTTTCAGGAGTCCATGGGAATGCACCCTAAAATCCAAACTGGTAGAAAGTGAAAAGGCCAGGACTGCAAAACGGCCTGTGCTAACTTGGTGGCATGGAGTGGAGAAGGTGTGTTAGTGAAACATGTTAATCTCAGAGGGACCTCTAGTGCTGTCTGTAATTCTGCAGGTTTGGATTAGTTTGATTCAGTCGTGTTGCTTAAACACGATGTGTTCAGACATTTGTTTTATTCTGTGCAGTGTCAGGTTCTGTTACCAATACTGTTTTTTTATTGTTCATTTATCATTGCAGAAAGCCTAAAACTAAGAGAGCAAAAAGGTTTCTTGAGAAGAGAGAACCCAAACTCACAGAAAATACAAAAAATGCTATGCTTATAAAAGGAGGAAATGCAAATTCAACAGTGACTGATGTGCTTAAAGACATTGTAAGTTTGTTGGACATAGATATATATATATATACACATATTATACACATATGTGTATAGATGTAGTGTGGCCTTTAGTTATAACCCGTTGCATTATACCAAGGCTAGTTTCCCTTCTCCCTTTCTTACAGTTTACCTGTTGTCTGCTGCAAGATAATATTTTCATGCTCTCCCTGTGCTCCCATATTTCAAATTGTGACTGGTGCTCTAAAAGGCATCATTACCTACCCTGGCATGTTTTTTTTGTTGTTGTTGTTACTGTTTGTTTTTTTTTCCTTCATGTTCTCTCTTTGCCAAAATCTTTTAGCTTGTTCCCTTTGTCATTTTTTTTTCCTGTGGTTGTTCAAGAATATAAGGTAAAGTATTTCCAGTCTATTTGTAGAAAGGAGGTATGGAACTGGGACTGGATCTCACCTCTGAAATCATATCCCAGAGCCTGGTGGGCTGCTTCTGTGTATTTATGTAGAGCCTCTCCCAGAAGTTACCTGTGAATCCACTGTCTACATCCTGTCTCCTAACCCCATAACTGAAAATACTGTGGCTGTTCCTACTCTATTTTCTCTCCTTGCTTGCTGTTTTCTTCCCAGTCTATACTGATTGAAAATCAGCTAGTTGTTTCTTCCCTGTTTTTCCTCATGTCCCTAGAAGTAGAAAGATTCTGTTACATGGCTTTGATCTTAGTTAGTTTTTACTTAATTAGTTCTTAGTTTCTAGAAATAAATCCTTTTGCAATTAATTGAGAATCAAGATTAGCATTATAGTCCTGGAAGATTTGTTGAGAGTAGGTGTTTTGAACTGACTTCTTTTTTAGTCTAGACTATACAAACAACTATTTTATTTAAAGCGATCCTGTAAGTTGTGGGGTTTTAAAAACAGCAGTACTGCAGTTTTCAATGTATGAGAGCGAATGTATGTTTAACTTTGGTTGTGTGTTTTGCAGTATGCTGTGAAGAAACCTTTTGCCATGCTGTTTAAGAAGTAAGTGCTCCCATTTTGACATCTTCGAGTCTTTTGACAAATGGCATTTGGTAATTTCAAAGCAGGGTTAGGGATGTAAGCAACAGCATTGAAAAATGGAAGGGGCTGCAAGAGGTGACAGGGATTCATCCTAAATTTCGGTAGGTTGAACAAAGCTGCAACTGATGATTGTTATTAAGCCTGGTTCTGTATTAAGTGCCGTAATGTAGAATCCAGCAAACTCAAATGGATTCTGGTCTATGCAAACATCTAGGGAGGTTCCGTATCAACTAAGGAGTTATTTTTCCCAATTCTTAGAAACTCAAGTTGCAGGTTATAATGATGGCTCTAGCTTTATTGGAGTGGGAACCAAGTATGCACAAACATTAGTAGTAATATCTAAATTAAATATGGTTTTGATGAACAAGCAGAGACAGTTGTTCCTAATGTGTTGCTAACAGTTTATTTGAAAGTCAGAGAACAGAAGACAGAAAACCTGAGGGGAAGAGTTTAAATATGGCAAAGGCAGCACTAGGGAAAACCTGGCAGAACTAATAAATATGAATTACAGTTCTAAAACTAAAATTCTGATGCTGAAGTTTCTTGTAGAATGCAGAGTCTTGTTACTAGAGATCTGGAAATGCTCAAGCAAGCAAATTTGTTCTTATCTGGGTTTTTCTACTTTTATTCCCTCTCAGGAAAAATATTACCAGACCTTTTGAGGATCAAACATCTTTGGTAAGTATAAGTGACATGGCTTATGTGGCTTACGGAGATTTTACAGCTATAAAGTAATGAAGAACTTGATTGCAAGATAGTTTCTTATTGGTGTGTGAGGAATTAACTAAGAAATAAAATTTATAGGAAATCTGAGTAAGCTAAAGGTAGGTGTCAGTAGGCAGTTTTTTTTCCTTACGTCTCCAAGACAGAATTTTTGTGTTGTTACGACTATATCCTTACATTAAATGCATGTTTCTATAAACTGACAGTTTCAGGGCTGTGTAACACTGTTAAGCAACAAGTAACAGTGCTTGATATGAAAGGAAAAAATAAGAATTTTATTTTGCCTTTTTTTTTTCTAGCAGTCAGTTTTTTAAGGTGCAATAGCTTATGAACAGTCCCTTTTCAGGTTGGTGAATTCATAGGTTAAAGTAGTTAAATGAAGGAGTCATTGGTTTCTGTGACTCTTGGTCATATTTGAAGAGGAAGAAGAGTACAGTAGAGTACTGCCTGCAAACACATGCAGATGCAGTGCAAGTAGGAGAGTTCTTGTGAGTTCTGTTCCAACATTCAGACAAGAACTGTCAGAAAAATGAGCAGTTTCAGTTAAAATACATATATTTGGCCCACAGTGAGATTGGAAAAATGACTGTTCAGAGGCCTGGGAACTTTTTCATCTGAACATCCATTTACTGATATGTTGACTCAGTGCCTTAAGGTCAAGTTTATTTATGAGCAGGAAGGCAAAAGATAGAGGGACTAATCCCAAGATTATAAATCTCAGTTTAATCAAAGCATTACATTAGTGGGATATGGTCTTTAAATTGTAAAGTGTTTGCTGTATGCCACTGCTGACTCGTACACAAAAAATAAGAGTCAGTCTTCCAAAGTGTGAGGCAGTTGTTGAAATTTACTGAAAACACACCCTGAAATGAAGCAATACTTAATCTATGACAGATGTTAATGCTGAGGTAATGCACCTTGTGTTTCTGCTCTCAGCATGAAGCACAGTGATGTGACCATCCCATACAGCATTGTGCTGAATGAAAAGGTACTATAGGCAGCGAGGCAAGATCTGCAGTGTTGTTTAGTGAAACTAAAGCCCTTACAGTCACATGGCTGAATGACTTATGGTCATGTAGGAACCAGTTGATTGTCAGATGACCACTGATGTGAACTTTTTGTAATTTCTGGGAAAATACGGCACCTAGGATTGTTCTGATATTTAGAAAGGGGTCTTGCAGGGAAACTTTAATTTTCATAGCCAAAGAGCAGTGCAGTGGAGTGGAAGATTCAGAACTGTTTCAAAAACTAAGTGGGAACTAGAAAGGCATGGAAAGTGGAATCAGTCTGCTTTCCTCTTTTCTTGGGTTCAGGCATGTTTGATAGAGGTGGTGTTGCAGTGTACGTGGGATACAAGCGAGGCGTTTTGAGTTTGTTGCGGCCTTTTAATTAAATGCCATGCAGCTGCTATAGAATTAACACATGTCAAAGTGCAGTGTTTAACAGAGCTGTATGAGTGAGTGTTTCCGTGAGATGTCTGGCTCTGTTCTTGGTGTGTCTAGACTCTCAGTGAACCAGTGGCTGAGCTCGACGAGGTACGTGCCGTTCATCCAGCCTGGGATTGCTCCCAGTGGCAATGTTTCCTGCAGTCCCCAAAGGGAAGAGCTGCAAGCCAGACAGATTGTTCTCATGAACAATGGTGCTCCCAGGGGACTGCTATGGGAGGAGGTGCTATGAGATGATTTTTTTTTCTTTTCTGCTATTTTTTAAGTGCTTTGCAGCTGCCAAGTGCAGGTACAGAAACTCTGGTATATCTGGAAAGGGCTGGAGAAATTGTGTGTGTGCAGATATACCAAGGAATCACTGCCCTGAGAAGCAGCTGTGTCCACTAAGGCTTCGGAGTTGGACATCCTCAGAAAGCATCACTATAACCTTGGCTCTTGATGCACCACTCTAACAGGTTCTCCAGTGGCATCTCTAGGGAAAAGATCTCTCAGTCACCAGTAGCTTGATTTTTCAGCACCATCTTAGTCTTAATCAAGTAACAAATTGACATGAAAGTGCTCTGTAAGGAGCCTCATGCTCTAGTGAGAGAATGTTAGAGATTTGCAGATGCACCTTGATTTCCCTTTGAAGGAATTAACTGGTTGTTGAGAAGCTGTTAGGTAAGGCTGTAATACCACATAAAACTTAGCTAAGTAACTCAAATAAGACATTATATGCTTAAATACTTATTACTCTTTAGGTAAGGAGAAGTGGTTGAAGGTGGCTAGTATAAAAACGAATCATGAAGAATTACAAAAAAGGGTGTTTCAGACAGAATGGCAAGAAAAAAAATTGCCTGGCTTAGTCTGTAAGAATATTAGGAAATGAAAAATAAATAAAAAGAGGGAATGGAATTGTTGGATCCAGTAGTCAATTTTAGCATATGTGGACCTGGAAATCTTAACTTTTCTGTTAAGTGCAGTTACTCTTCCCATAAAGAGTTCCTAAACTTACATGCTTGTGATATATGCCTTCGCCAAATATTTTAAATTCTTACAAACTTACAAAGTGTTTTTTTTTTCTTTTTCCATTGATAGGAATTTTTTTCAAAGAAATCAGATTGTTCCTTGTTTCTGTTTGGATCTCATAACAAGAAGCGACCTAATAACTTGATAATAGGTAACATGCCTCATTTGCATTTGTAATCAGATGAAGGTGTAGCTTTCAGTAAATATTTGAACGAATGAATTTTATTTCTTATTCTTCTTCACAGGTCGCATGTTTGATTACCATGTCTTGGATATGATTGAACTGGGCATTGAGAAGTTTGTATCCCTAAAGGACATCAAGGTAAGGGAAGCAACGCAAGCTTTTCAGTGACCTCTGCTGGTGGGTTTTTCGTGCATTGGCATTTTTGTGCTTTGAAGCAATAACAGGATCTTTTGAAAATGTTTTACGTAGTATTCGAGTATTGTTAGATTTGTGTACCTTAATGTTATTTTTGTGCTTTTTGTTTGATTATTTTGTTGCTTTTGAGGAGTTAACTATATGCTTACCAATTCTTTTGTTAGACTTGGTTTATTCCCAATATTTGTATTTTTAATGTGTTACCTTTGTGAAACTCTTCAGTCACATCCCCATGGGAAGTTCCTAAAGTTCCTATATAAATTGACTCTGCTTGTAAAACCTAAGTTCTTTTAAGAAACAGAAGGTGATCCAGCCACCAAAAAGGACGCCACTGTGTATCCATGTCCCAACCAGAAGGTTTGTCCAGTTGTGCAGCAAAATGCGGTGGAGAATTGATTTGGTAGAAAACAACCCAGTGGCAGTGGGGAAAGGTTGTTTTCCAGCCTGATCGCTTCTTTCATTTTCTTCACCACATAACCATATTTGCTGGTTCAAAGATGCATTAACATGACAACAGGATTGTTTCTTTCAGGAAGTGGTGCTTATGCCAGGGTAAAGTGTTTCCAAACTATAACCAACAAGAGTCTCTGTGACAGTAATTTATAAAGTAGTCAGATGATCCCAAAATTTTCTATAGCCTTCAGCAGTACACAAGTGCCAGTTCCCAGGGAACTGTATTTGATTCAGACTGAGGGCTAACATCTCAATTATTTAAACTCTGAGAAAAATTACTTTACTTTATTAGGCCCATGTTACGTTTTAGTTTAGCCAAAATAGCCCTCTTTCATGTGTGCACATATTTGTAACCAAACAGTTCATATACTGCAAAAAAAAAAATACTTGCAGTTCTGATTTTTGCCACAGCAAATAAACTGAAGGCAGTCAAGAGGGATAATTACCTTTTTTAAAGATTAATTTTCCTCTTGAAGTCAGATTGTAGTATGTATCTTCATAAATCTGTTTGTAGTGTGGAAATCATAGTTAAGTAATTGTGTATGTTGATACCAAAATAAGAATTAGGTGATTGACTAAACTATCCCTTTAGCCTTCTCCATGTACCCTCTGGTCAAAAGTACAACAGACTTGTTTGCCTCTAGCTAGAGTTTCCTTGTTAGTACTTGCAATCAGATTTAGTTTTGCTTTCATTGCAAGGTGTTATCTCCAATATTTTACAGTAGAGAGTCTAACAAACAATATTGTCTCGAATTAAAAAAAAAAAACTTAAAAACTCTGTCTTCCCATATTCATTGTAAGTTGCAATAATTCTGTATTAAATGTTGAATAAATAGTCAACCATTAAATCAATAACTTTTGTTTTGAAATTCTTATCCCACAGAACAGTAAATGTCCTGAAGGAACAAAACCTATGTTGATATTTGCTGGTGACCTATTTGATGTAAATGAAGAATACAGAAGATTGAGAAGCCTTCTTATTGGTCAGTATTTGGATAGATTGAGCAGTGGGATTGCATAAAGCTGTAGCCATAGGGTCTGTTAGGAAATGTTGCTTTGACAACAAATGTTTGCTCATGTTCAGTACTGAAAGAAAACTTGGAAGAAGTAGCACTTGTGAGTTTGATGTCACATGAAGTCAAAGTTAACTCAACATCGTGACTGATACTTAAAAGAATAGAGGGAAAAAGGGCCTGAAAAACTTTGAAGTTGAAACTTCGAGCTTGCCAAAATTCATAATTTTGGTTGTGGGGAAATTTCTGGCATTTTTAAAAATGTTTACTTTGTACTTTGTAGTGCATCATCAATTTTCTAACCACTAGTAGTTCTGAAGTGCCTAATTTTGAATTAAATGGATTGTTAAGAAAATGGATTTTTTTTTGCTTACAGAAAAAGTCAGATCAGTATAATTGATCCTGCGTTTTCATTATGAAAGCATTTTTTGTTAGAAATTTGACCATTTCTAACAAATACACCATTGATCTGAGTATCTGGAATGTGCATATATAATAAAAATGATCCAGGTAACAGCTGTGTGAAAACTTAAAGGCAGGCTCAAAGCGGTGAAAACAAAATGGCTTAAATTGAGGAAGATGAGGCACGTTGTGGGGTTCAGCACTGAATTCTGAGGAACTAAAAGAAGTTTGTTTTTGTTTTTGATTTGTTTTTTGATAATTTGGGGGGATTTAGGGGTTGTATGATAGCATATCTCCTGATACTTGAAAAAAAATATGGCTTGCTCAGTAAAACTAGATGTAGGGTGTGTTGGGTGGTGTTTTTCTGCTTTTTAATAGTGTTCCTAAAGCGAAATTCTCCTCCCTGTCTTTTTTTTAAAAAAAAAAAAAAAATAGTGAAACTGCACAATAAGAAAAGGCTTTTTTTCTTCAGTTGTGCTTTCTCCTCTGGGGTTGCACTAATCCAGAATCTTACAGCTTTGTTAGATCTCCCTTTCACATAAAATAAATATTGGCAGGGCTCTCCTTTCTAGGCAAACAGACAGAGATTGCTTAAGAAACACACCTTAGAAATGAGATTTTCCTCACTATTACAGTTCTCTAGAGAGAGTGTATTGATTCATCTAGAATGAAATCGAAAAGGAAGAAGGAGGAGAGAAAATTTCCATCCTGTAAATGCATCTGACTATTTCTTAGATAAAAGGCCGGTAACTACTTATAGATCTTTGGAGGTGGAGAATATGGAATGTGAAGATACCTGAGTTTTGATAATGCATGCTTTTGTAAACGTAAGTGAATATTTACATTGCAGAAAGCACATGCGTTACTTTCTAAAGTGTATCTGTTAAGATGTCCACACGCTTTTGGTAGTTGGCTTCCAGGTGGCTCATACACAGGTGTGTTCATGCAGCTGAGGTTCCCCCAAAACAGCCTGATGCCTTGAATGGAGGACTTGTGCATTATTAGATAGTTGCCAAATGGCTAATTTCCTGTTCTGTTTCTCTTGTCATTCATCTACCCTCTGTCCTCCTATTAATTAGCCTTTAATGAATGTCTGCAGTCAGATGTACTCAAATCAACATCTCATTTGTCTTGTTGAATGTACTCCAAGTACTCCAGGTCTTAATGTTCTGTTGACTTCTATGAAATATCTAGATGCAAAACAATAGACAAAAAAAAAAAAAGGTTAAGGAGTATAAAGGCTCAAGGATACTAGCAACCAATTAATAATAATTTGATCTGCTTCAAAATTGTTCTTAACTGATACAGAAGAATTGATTCTTTCTGTTCCTGCAAAAGATGTCTTTGCTTAGGGAGTTAGAAAAATGTCTTTGTAACAGCACTAAATACTTTCTCACTGCAGCAGGGTTGTTGAGCCTCCAGGGGGAACATGAGATATCCAGCTACTTCTTGCTGCCACAGCAGCATTACCTTGACTATGCTGCTGAACACCCAAGCCCTCACGTGCCTTTGTACTACCAACAGGATTTATATGTGTTGGGAATATCATTTTACAGCACTTTCCTTATGGAATTAAAGACAAGGAATGAAGGGCAAGAATGAATAAGCATCTTCATGGCAACCATATCCACTTTTGCACTTACTGTAAGATGTAACAAGTTGTTCAGGAGACTTAAACAGTAGCTGTTTTTTCTTTAGAGACCTGAAAGACATCCTCCTCTTTCTCTTAATTTGATTTTCCTTGCCTAGTGAGGTAATGGTATAGGAATCTGTTTAGGCGTTCTTTAAATTCAGCTCATGAGATTCTCATAACACGTGACTGTATTTATAAAATGTTTCATCTCTTCAACGTTCTGTTGTTGGGTCCTATCTTTAAAATGGCAGGGAGTGTCTGGCTTGCTTATATGCTTGAACATTGGCTTGAAGGGCACCTGTACAATTTTTATATTGAGAATCAGGTTGATACTCATCTTAGCTTCCTCTCGCAGTTTTTTGAGTGTCTCAAAGATTTGTGGTTTATTGCTAGCCATGAAGGAGGATGGCTGGAAAAGGAGTCTGGAACAGAGTTTGCGCTTCTGTAGTAGTAACTGTAGCTTCGCAGGCTATAGTGGTACCAGCCTCTGCATATGAACTAATGCCAAAAGAAGTGTACAAGTTCAGGTTCCAAAATAACTTAGGATTTCAGACTTCAAATAAAAAGGCTTTCTACAAGAAAAAACAAAATAGAAGTCCTGAAAAGGTGTTAAGCAGAAGGTGGGGAAAGAATTAGGGATGGAAACAAGGTATCTAGTCCAACCAAAGCAAGAGTTGCAAATTAAGAGTACACTAGGCTCTGTGGGCACACTGAAGTGGGAGGTTTCCACAGCTGTTGAACATTGCCAGGAAACAGAAATTCCTGACCACCTGCATGTGCCTGGAAGGGATCATCCTGTGGGTAAAAGGATGTATGATGGCACAGGAAAACACCAAAGGGAGATGTTGCCAGTAAACCCACAGTAGATGTAAGCTCTATGCCCACAGAGAACCTAGTCAGAGGGAAAATTAATGCAAAAAGTGATCAAAATATTTTATTTGTGACTCTCTCTCTGGCTACAAGCTCAGCCGAGGAAGAGAGGAAGATTTAATTGACCTAGGCAATTTGTGGTTAGACTCCAGCTGAAATCTGCCAGTAAGACTTTGTTTTTGGCTGTCATTCCAGTCTAGATGCTTTTTTTTTTTTTTTTGGTAAGAAAAAAGATAGGAGAGGAAAAGACCACTAGCTGAGGAATCTGCAAATGGAACAGGATGGAAGAGAATTATGTGTTTTACATCCGTTAGCAGTTCTCCAAAGTTTCAGCATTGCGCTGTCGTGTTTATTAGCACACCTTGTTCCCTCAGTCAAGGTCACATTCTTTCTCCACCCTTTGCATATGTTGGACAAATTGCTGTGCTTACTGCAAGCTCTCTGATTGCCCTGTATTTTTCATAGCCTGATACAAGAACCTGACTAGAGGCAAGTAATTTTATATTTCATCCAGAGTATTTTCTCTGCAAACTAAGCAAAAAATTTTAAGCTTCTATTTTCATAAACGTTTATTGTTTCTTAAATAGAGAAAACACTAATTTTAGTAATGGGAAATACTGCTTTACACAAAGAACAAAAATGCTTGCTTTAGCCGTAGTGGGGAGGTATGAAAGAAATGCTGTACCAAAACTGTTCTTATCCCAAGTCCATAATAAAAAATACAGACAAAGCTAGGAGTGGTCAAGATAAAGCTAAATGGTGTGTGTGTGTATATATACACACACACATATACGTATATATATATTTTTTATTGTGCGCTAGTTTTGGTAAGTTCTTTGTACTATTCCCAATCTGGTGCTGATTAAGAATCTTAGGTATGAGTTTCTTGAATGCAGTCTTAAAATAGCTATCTGAACTATCATTTTTCTGCACTAATAATCTATATTTAGCTAAGCATGACTTGGCCTGAACACTAAATAAGATGCATTTATTTTTTTCTGACTTCAGAGCTAAAGATTTGGAAGGAGAGGCAGTGCCATTATCCCAGTTAGTTAGTAAAACTAAGCCAGAACTGCAAGTATATTTGCACTTGTTTTTAGGTGGCATTTGAACTGCTACCAAATTGTCTCTGGGAAGTCCTGTTCCTGTTCTAAGTAGTTACTGTTGCGGGAGATTAAATATTTTGGATGGCTCTAGAAAAGCTAAATCTATTTATAGCCTCACTTTATCTAGGTGAGGAGTTTGCATTGCCACACTGGTATAGATCCATCATTAAAATAAGCCTATTTGTTATAGTCATCTATTGGTTTGGTTTTCAGTCAAGAAGCCTGGCATTTATTCTGTCTGAATATTCTCTCAGATTTCTTCAGAGGTCCTACAGTGTCCAATATTCGTCTGGCTGGTTTAGAACATGTTCTGCATTTCACAGCTGTAGATGGGAAAATTTACATGCGGAGCTATAAGTGAGTATGTGTTTTACCGATTTGTTTGGTTTTTTTGGTATGCTTGTCAGCTTCTTCCTGAAATTCAGCCTGTGGGTTGTGTCATTGAACTGCCACGAACAACAGTTTGCTGCATTTGAAATAAGTAACGTTTTGAGCACAACACAAAATGGAGCAGAAAGAAAACACTTTAAGCCTTAAATCCAATGTCTCCTTCCTTGTTGAGCTCCCTTTCTAGCTGGGAGGACTGCACTTTCACACATACAGATTAGTAAGGCATTGTAAATTTGACTTGGTGAATCCTCAGCACTGTCTTACACTTTTTAAACTTGTTCTCACTTAGCTGCTTGTCAGAGAAAAACAGGTAATGGACTGTGGCCAGAGATACAAAGGGACAAAACAGGAAAGATAGAGCAAGTCAGCATCTCTGAAGGCCATTCAGCGGTGTTCACTCAAAAGGCTTTTCCATAGCAGGCTCTGAACATTCATAGCTTTTGTTTTGTGCTACTTGATAATTTCTCTTATAAAGAAATGACTGTTACCTAATACAGTCTCATTCTCAAAACATTAAAAAGAAGGAGGAAAAAAAAAAAAGAAAGAAAGCTACCTTCTGCGTTAGGGCTCTGGATATTTTGCTATGAACTATAGTACACGGAGGGCTATTCTGAATTTGCAGAATGATAGAGCTTTTAGAGTACTGGTGTTGAGTTTCCACAGTAGTGCTGGTAGTACCAATCTTATGCAGAAAGTGATGTACCCAGGTTGGATTTTGAGTGCATAGAAATTATGATGGAACAGATTTAATTCTCAGTAATCATCAGCAGTGCTTGTTTTTGATTTTCTTGTCAGTTACTGTATTGAACTTGTGCTTTAGGAAGATGAGCATAGATTTATCACAGATGGCAATGTTGATTTTTGGTTGCATTTCTCTTCCAGAGTGCTTCTGAAGAAATCTGGCTGTAAAATACCAAGGATTGAACTGGAAGAGATGGGACCTTCATTAGATTTGGTAATGAGGAGAACACACTTAGCTTCAGATGACCTTTATAAGCTGTCTTTAAAACAACCCAAAGCCCTGAAGGTAGGTACCCTTGGGTGCATATTAAATCATAGGTAGAGCTGCAAAAAGACCAAGAGCTGGAGTATTAGTTATTGTATGATAACCAACCAAAACTTCTCTGCAGGCCAGCTAATATTTCTAGAGCCACATCACCATAGTGGTGATCTGCTAACATAAAAACACTCCTTTGAAAGCATGTAGGAATGAGACAAGTCTTAATCTTCTAAGCTGAAGATGATGTATGCAGCCTTGCTTTTAGACACTCAGTTTGGAAGTTTAATTACTGATGAATGTGGTGGTGGTAAGAGCTGCTGCCACTTTCTCCTCAACAGTGCTAATGTTGCACTTATTTTACAGCCTAAGAAGAAGAAGAATATCTCCCGGGATGCCTTTGGTACAACTTATGGTCGAATCCACATGCAGAAGCAAGATCTTAGTAAACTACAAACAAGGAAAATGAAAGGGTTAAAAAAAAGGGCAGCAGAGAAGTCAGTTGAAGAAGATAGTGCAATTAGTCCCAAGAAAACAAAATCAGCCTGATTCTCTGGAACACCTTTGAAAGCTCTTCCTACTGTCAAGTTTAGTATATTTGCTGTAATATACATGCATCAGACATGGAGATTCAGCTGCAATTAGTTTTAGTTTTATAAAAATATATTTTAAATAACTGTGCATTGAAAGTGAATATAGGGATATTAAGCTTCAAAATGAAAGTTGGTTATTAAAAGAAAGAACGTGATGTAACAGTTTTCCAAAGGTTCGGCTGGTACTAGCAAACGCACACTAGTCAAGCAGATGTTTGCTTTCCCCAGAAACTTTATGGCTCTTATGTTGGGAACATGTGATCAATCAACTCATCTTAAAAATTCTGCCCAGGACCAAACAGTATATATGCATAATTTAAGCAGTATGACTTGGGGTTCATTTATTGTTTATGTATTTCAGTTTTTGCACAGCTGCAATATTGCAATATTCAATAAACTATAATACATTTTTTTAAGTGTGAACTCTTTAAAGGTAGGTGCCTGTGTCAGAGGCCAGACTGTTTTTAACTGTTGCACCAAGCCCTACTTTACACTTGCAGAATCAGGAGTGATTAAGATGTTTTCACTACGTTCATCACTATGGTAGCAAAGTACCTGATGTTTGCTTTGTGCATAAATGAAACCTTTATGGTTTGAATTTCAGTCTTTAATGCTTGGTTTGTGCCTAGAATGCAAGGGGAAAAGGCAGCTTAGTCTTTTTATTAATCTAAGTATACCAGGCTCCTTTTTTTTTTTTTTTTTTTTTTATACAGAATATGAAGAAACTATGAAAGCTCTAAGTCTTCTTACCTGAATTTGAAATCTGCTTTCCTCCTAAATTTTCCTCCCAAGAGTCGATGTGATTAAGTGATTTAGCGAAGAGTCAGTTAAAGACTCAGCTAAAGGGGAAGAGTTGCAGAGTTCAGTGTCTTGTTCTAAATTTTGGGACATAAAATACAGCTTTTTTTTTTGCTTGTCACTTTGGAAGTCATTACTCTATGCTTGTAGCATAGTTATGATGAAAATGTATATCCCAAACACAGCTTAAACATTTTTAATTCCTCATCTTTTTACTTGTCTCCTGCGTCTCAGAGGGAGCTGCTTGGCAGGTTTGCTCTCCTTATGAGAGAGCCAAGTTGTAATTGTGGCTGTGTAAATGCCGCATGTGATGCTCTTGCTGTGCTGGTTTGATAAAATTCACAGTGTGACATCAAAGGACTTCAGGCATTTAGGGCCTTATTCAGGATGCACAACTATGTATATAATATTTTTTGTATTAGCTATATGTCCTCAAAAAGACCCTCAATTGTCTTCAAATTATCACCTGAATTACTTTTGTACATCATTATGCAAAAAAAAAATGCACCGCTGTCTGGTTCCTTTTCTCTACTGTATAACCATACGCTTGAGAAATTGCTGTTTGTTGACTTCTATGCAAAGTAAAAGGTTATAACTTGCCCTGTTTCTAATGAATTGTTTGTATTTATCAAAGCAGTGCCACTGGGGTGCAAACTTGGAAGTGGGAAGTGGAAACAACAAGTTGACCATGAGGCAGCAATGTGCCCTCGTGGCCAAGAGGGCCACTGGGATCCTGGCCTGCATCAGGAGGAGCGTTGCCAGCAGGTCAAGGGAGGGGATCCTGCCCCTCAGCTCTGGTGAGGCCGCACCTGGAGTATTGGGTGCAGTTCTGGGCTCCCCAGTGCGAGAGGGTCCAGCGTAGGGGCATGAAGATGATTAAGGAACTGGAGCATCTATTATATGAGGAAAGACTAAGCGAGCTGGGGCTGTTCAGTCTGGAGAAGAGAATACTGAAAGGAGATCTGATCAGTATGTATAAACACCTGAGGGGAGAATGTAGGGAGAATGGGGCTAAACTCTTCTTGCTGGTGGCCAGTGACAGGACAAGGGATAATGGGTACAAGTTGAAACACAGTAAGTTCCATTTCCATGTAAGGAAGAACTTCTTTCCTGTGGGGGTGACAGAGCCCTGGAACAGGCTGCCTAGGGAGGTTGTGGAGTCTCCTCCTCTGGAGATCTTCCAAACCCACCTGGATGCCACCCTGTGCCACATGCTCTAGGTGTCCCTGCTGGAGCAGGGGGTTGGACTAGATGATCTCTAGGAGTCGCTGTGATCCCATGTGAGCAAATAGGATAGAGCCAGATGAGCAACAGCTCTCACCACCTGTCGGGGCAGTTTCAACCTTGCCGTGAAGCAATGATTAAGCCATCACAGCAGAGGCCAGTGCAATTCCAAGCGTACAGCATGTACAACCGCCCCGCTGCATCAGAGTTGATTGCTTCATTTTGCCTATCTGATTTAACTCAAGGTGACTAGAGATACTGAGGCTAAATATAACACCTTTTTAGCAGCATGCTCTTATTTCTCACAGCCCCCTAAAGCGTGAGGAAATGTCAGGTGCTGTGACGTGGCCGGGAGCCGAACCTGCTGTGCTCAAAGCCAGTCCGAGGAAAGAGGCTTGAGTTGCCTCAGCCGCCCCGTGCCAGACCTTGCTAGGCCGCAGGGTGCGTGTGGGCGGGCAGGGCGTGAGGGCCCTGCTGGCCGGCCATGCAACTCGTGCCCCCGGGGCATACTCTGTTCCCATGTTAACGTTGCCAGCCTGTGCTGCGGGCACCGCTATTGCTACTGTTACCTTTATTTATGGTAGCCTAGCTCACATAATTAATGATACACATGGGATTTACAGTCTACCTGTGCTATGAGCTTACCTGGCTTTTGGCATGGCACAATTTTTAAAAATCAGAAAGAGATGGACTTTGCCGAGTGACACCATGTGCCTGGCTCCTGTGGTCTCCTGGCCCTCGGTGCTGGGCAAGGATCCAGCCTTAGCTTGGTGGGAACATAAAACAACAGAGGGAGCAGAGAGGGGAATGAGCCGTGTGTTTAAGAGAAGCATATGAACTCCTTCCTGTTTCCTAGATTTTGTAGGTTTGAGTTTATCTTTTCCGTTCCCTAGCGACCTTATTTGTTTTCACTTAGTGCTTTCTGTGCTTGATGGTGATGGGTTTCCTTCCCCCACTAACCTGGCTGCAACTGGGCAGAGTTAGGAGAGAGTCTGAAGGGAGGAAAGTTGAGCAGAAGAGACAGGTGCGGCACTGACTGCAGGCAGGACAGAAGGCAGAGAGGACCACGGTTTATCTCAGAGGTTATCAAGCATGGGCAGGATAAGGAAACCAGAGCGGAGTTGTGTTACAGAGGCATTTTAAATATTAAAGAGAAAGTAGTGGAAAATGTTAGCTATGCACTGTACAGGTTGACACGTGTAATACATGTAGAATATGGCGCAGATAGTTCTGCAATTTATCTCCTCTTGGACACCGCTAAACTACCTCTGCCAGTGCTGACATATCCTAGATGCAATCAAAAGACATAGCTGAGAAATAGGTCAGTTGCACCAGAAGTCAGGTTTCCTAAAAATATACAAGCAAGAGGAGACATGCAGCTCGTGAATGCGAAGTCTTTAGAGGACTGCCTTCTTAAACGGGTTAGTATTTCGCAGTGGGAAATAGGGTTGACGCGTACGAAGACCTTTACTGCTGTGCATTTATGCAGGAGATGAGGGGAAGAGCTGGCAAAGGCACCTTGAGAGGAGGTGGGCTTGCTGGGAGACCTCCTGGAGGAGGTTGGGAATTGGTTATTTCGGAGATGACGGTAAGTGGTGGACCTCAGCGCTGGGTGAGCCAGGAAATGGAGATGGGGGAGGGAAAATTTATAGGTAGTTTTGGATTAAGTCTAATCTTACACAACACACGAATCATTTCCTTTATGGCTTTCTCGATCAGCATAGGTCGGTCTGCTGTGCTCATTGGTTGCCCTAAGTTCTTTGCTCATTCCTATTTTCTTTGACTTTTAATTGTATTCTGTCAACTTCATTTTTTTCAGTTTCTCTGAGATAAATACAAAGCAACTCATGGCAAGCAGAGGCAAGGTTTCCAGCAGCAGGTAATGGAAAGCAGATATGGCTAATGACTCTCCCCCACATTCTCAGTATATCTCACCCTTGATAACACCTTCATTCCTTCCTAAGATAAAACACCTATAAAATCAAGGTTTTTCCTCATTCATTTTGTGACACTAAAATATGCTTATATGGGTACTAAATGTCTCCTGTGTTGATTACTACAATTTTATCCCCTTGCCTGAAACTAAACACAGCTTCTGTGACCCATTTCTTGTTGTTTATCCCCACAATGTCTTTGTGCTGGCAAGAAGTAGTTTCTTGTCCTTCGTTGCTCTTGATGATGTTCATATTCATCCCCTTCTACTCTGCCGATGAACGTATGTTTGGTTTTCCCTGTCTTTCATGGGTATCTTCTGTATTCTGTACTGACCAGTGCCTGCTAAATTCCCCATTCAGCTGGTCACTGTAAGAGTTGAGGTGGTTAATGAAAGTCACAGAACAGAAACTGAAGCAAGAAATCAAGAGTCAGGATTGTGTCAGGAGTCAAACCAGAGGTCAGGAACAGAATCCAAAGACAAGATGGGATTATGAGCTATCCTGTCCACTCCAGGGTTATGTCTCCTAGGGCATTGCACTGATGTGCTTTGTGCTGCGTTGCCTGCGAGGACCTGAGTGATGGGTAATAGCTAGATTTTTCACATACAGGAGGATGTAATGCAAAGTAAGGTGAGTTTAAAAATCTGTTTTTACCTCCCTTTTTCCTGATGTTAACGTGGACTCTGCGGAAAAGCAGGTGACGGATGAGCCTGTGCTCAGGGCGCATGCAGTAGGCAGGGCCTGTGATTGGGGCAGAGGCCTGTAGGATCAATACTAAGGCTACTTCAGGTTGTTTTCTCTCCTGTGTGCATTAAACATACATTGATTGCTACATTGGGTCTCTAGGCAGGATATTTACTGATGGTACTTTATCATGGTGAATTATTGCTGCAGCTGTGGCTGTCTACTTTAGCCCTAGATAGGCACACTAGAACTGAGCACCAGCTGTTATCAAGAGAGAGGCTGGAAGCCTCTTACCTCCCCTCCTGTTTTCTTTTAGGTAGAAAGACCTATTACTTGTACTAGGTTGGAGTATCTGTTTTCCTATTAAAAAAAGAAAAAAGCATCCAAGAGTAATTATGTCTTTTCAGTTTTAATTGCAAGTTGCTAGTATTTTTCCTCTGATTGAAACCGAGCCGTTACTCTCCAAAGTTCCTCTCT